CTCCGAGGGGCCCAAACGCTTCGTCTGTGCCCCGCGCCGCCTGCGCTTCTTTTCTCGAAGACGATCCGGCACCTGGGCGTCGAGCAATGCGACGTACCAAGAAGGAGGGGCATGCGATCAGAAAGGCGAGCATCCGATGCCTTGCTAGTTCATGTAAGTTCGACCTGAATGGCACACATCGTGCTGTCACGATCAGAAACGATTCAACATTATATTTGCTAGTGCTGTCAATCACCGTGATGGCATGATCGTGCTGGCAACGACATCCAGCACAATACTCTACAGTAGTGGCTGAAGCCATCTACTGGAAGAACATAACACATGCTCGCCATCGCCATTAGCATCATCGCAATCAACAAGAGAAGGCCTGGGATGAGGACGACGGCCGTGACCAGAGCAAAGAGGAGGGACGAGGTGTTGACAACTGATCAGTAGGTGAGACATGGTGAAGAGGATCCGAATCACATCCCTCGCGACGATGTGACCTCAATCATGTGATACCTTTTCTTCCACACGGGTCCCCTGGCAATCCGACCTGCTGTTTACCGGGACGACGCCTCGACCCGAGCCGTGGCCTGGCGGCCCCGGGGCCCGGCGAGGACCCCCCAGGGCGGAGAACGGCCAACAGCCTCCCGTCGTGATGTTCGGTCGGGCATGTCCTCCTAGGAAGAATAAAAGATAGCCCAACACATGCTCCAAACTAGTGATGTGTTGACTATTTTTGAACCTTCCTCCTGTAGAAGAACACGCCCGACTTACAACCGTGATTTGTCACGACGCCTCCAAGGTCGCCCGACTTCCTACCAGACCACCCCAACCCAACCCGACGACCCAAACTGGACCCGAATTTCTGGTTGGGGGGAGGGTACGGGCCCCATGTGTTTTTACAGTGCTCCCCGACCCCGCCCCCCACTAGCTCGCCATCGCTCGGACGTCCATTCCCTGTGTTTTGTTCGGTTTCGTGCGTGGCTTTTTCGCAACATGATCAAGGATGCTCCTCGATGGTCCTCGCCGAGGAAAAAAAACGCACCCGTCCGAGCGATGCCAAGCTGGAAAGGGAGGGCGAGAGGAAGCCTTCGTGTTGGCTTGGGGCGGTCTGCTGCGTGGCGATCGCCGTCCTCGGCCGCACCCCAGACGGGCGCGCACCCGCGAGGCGCCTCCCCGGCACCCCCCCCCATCGTGAAGGGGCCCCAGGACACACAAATAGATACACACAAATAATAAAACGATTCCCCATATGTTCCCATATTTTCGGGGTGTCTGTCTTCCCCCCCACTTCCCATAGTTTCGCGTATTTTCTGGGGAATCGACGAATAATTGTGCCGGTGTGTTTTTTCCCCTCCTGACATCGGCGGCACGAAGGCCCCAGCGGTGATGGGCAGGAGCAGCACAAGAGCAAGAGAGCGAGGCGCCTCGAGGAACGGTGGCGGCACGGCATTGATGGGGACCAGCCACCTTCCGCTGGCGGCGTGCGCAACGGTGGAGGGGAGGGGGGGGAGGGAGGGCCTCTTCTCAGAACGGAGCAGCACAGATCGGCAGAAGCATGAACTCTCGACGGCTCGCGCGGATGTCTCGAATCCGCGCTTGAGCCCCCTCCCTAGCGCGCCTCCCTAGCGCGCGGAACGCGCCAGGGGCGGCGCCGGAGGCGACACGGGGGCCCAGCGCGGATCCACGAAATCCGCGCGCACCGTCGAAAGTTATGTCTATGCCTTTTGTTGTTCTTCGGTGGAAGGATGCTGCTTCTGACGAGGTGATGGCGTGCTGGCCTCACATATATATATATATATATATATATATATATACATATATATGTATATATGCATGACGCCCGCATCTTCTGAGAAGCAGGGGTGCGTCCAAGAAGCCCTCCCTCCTTGACATGCCCAACCCCGTTGAGAAACCCTCTTCCTCTCTCTCCCTTCCTCCCTCTGTCCTCCCTCGCCCTCTCGCTCCCTCACCCGTGCGAAACCACCCCTACTCATTCCCACCAGGCGGTGCGTGTGTGTGTGTGTGTGTGTGTGTGTGTGTGTGTGTGAGTGAGTGTGTGTGTGTGTGCGTGCGTGCGTGCGTGTGTGTGTGTGTGTATGTGTGATGGATGTCGTTTCCTCTGGCTTTCTTCCGCATGTGAAATGCCGGATCTGCACGCACTCTCCTTGAAAGCACGTGTGCGTGCGTGTGTGTATGTCTATGAGTGTGTATGTGTGTGAGCGTGTGATGCACCCGCGGTTGCCTTCCCATTGCTTCGTTTGAGGAACATGTTTGCATGTGTGTGCACGTGTGGACGATGCGCTCTGCTTTCCTACACGGCTCACCCTTGCCTGCCTCTTCGATTGCAGCTTGAGCTATTGCGCTCCCGCTGCTGGTGGACCGGCCGACGGTGCGTCGAAGCAGAGCCAGAACAAGTGTGTTATGCGTGCGCGTGTGTGTGTGTGTGTGCGTGTGTGTGTGTGTGTGTGTGTGTGTGTGTGTGTGTGTGTGTGTGTGTGTGTGTGTGTGTGTGTGTGTGTGGGGGGGGGAAGGGGGGGGAAGGGGGGGGTGCGTTTCTGCTGGCCCACTTTGCCTCTGGCCGGCTTTGCCTCTGCTTTGCTGCCAGCCGTCCTGGCCGCTGACCGCCTCGTGAGGGGCCGACTTCTCATTTGACGGCGTGGCGCTGCGCCTGCCAGCGGACGACCGAAAAGTGTGTACGGGGATTTTTCAAGGACCAAGCGCCATGGACGTAAACTTTCGGAAGTCTGCACGGACTTCCTGGATCGGCGTTGGGTTCCCCTCCCTGGCGCGCGAAACGCGCCATGGGCGACGCTGGAGGCGCTGGCAGGGGGGCCCCGGCGCCGATCCAAGAAAACCGCTCGGAGCGTTGAAAATTGATGCTTCTGCAGCACATGTTTCTTCGTCGACGTGCGCAACCCTGGATAGCGTGTCGCACCGCTCCGTCGCGGGGCGGGAAACCGAGACCGGCTCAGGACAATACTGGGACGTGGATGGCGTGTTGCTCAGAAGCCTGCTGGGCCAGAACTGGCGGAACGACGCGCTAAGCCACCGATCTTGACCGTACCCCTGATACGCTGGATCTCTTCTCCGGTACTTTCCTTGGTCTACATCCTCTCCCTATCCGACGCGCAGCTGTCAACCACGCTCTTCAGCCTTGCCAATCTGTCGCCGCGCCACTTGTTCCCCGACGCGCCCAAGTGGACGACGCAGACACCACGGCAAACCCACGGCAAGCCCTACGCCCAGCGCCCATGTAGGCGGCGCCAGCATCGCGGCAAACTCTGCGTCCGAGGCGGATCTTGCCACGGTGGCCGAGGCGCCCTCCCCAAGACGTGAGACCGCGCGTCGGAACGTACGGCGCGGCGACACGTGCTCATTCCCCTCCACGTCGCTCCACGACCTCCCTCCACCCGCCGCTCCTTCATCCCACCCACTCCTCGCCCACCCTCGCGTGCAACATGGGCAGGCATTGAGGGGAATAGCAAGCGACACAGAGGCATAAACCCTCGACTTGGTCCGCTCGGACTTCCTCGGGATCGACACAGGGCCCCTCCTGCCTGGCGCGCGGAGCGCGTCAGGGGCGGCGCCGGAGGCGCCGCCAGGAGTGGCCAGCGAAGGTCAATAAATATTCGCGAGGATATCCGACAATCTGTGTGGCCCAAGGAATGTTTTTTGTTGTTGTTGAAAAAACAAAAACATTCGCGAGGCTCTCCGACAGTTTGTCTGCTTCGAACATGGCCCTTCCATCGCCCAGGGAAGCCCAAAAAATCCCGAGCACGCTGCAAACTGACCAGAACTTCGGACGAATCCGGCCGTGGCGACGAAGGCCTGCCAGGAGGCCCAACAACGCGAAAACGAGGCAAGGGCAGCGACGTCGGTACCCCCTGCCTCCTCTGATCACCCTCGATGAGGGGGGGAGGAGGATGAGGAGGAGGAGGGGGAGGAGGAGGAAAAGAATGATGATGATGATGATGATGATGATGATGATGATGATGATGATGATGATGATGATGATGATGATGATGATGATGATGATGAGGAGGAGGATGAGGAGGAGGAGGAGAGGAGGAGGAGGAGGGAGGGAGGAGGAGGAGGGAGAGGAGGAGGAGGAGAGGGATAAGGAGGAGGAGGGGCGAGGAGGAGGAGGAGGAGGAGAAGGAGGGAGGGAAGGAGGAGCAGGGGGAGAAGGATGAGGAGGGGGGGGAGGACGAGGAAGGGTGGAAGGAGGATGATGATGAGGAGGAGGAGGAGAAGGAGGAAGAGGAGGAGGAGGAGAAGGATGCCCTCCCATCCCCTCCCATTGCGCCTCCGTGCTTGGGTGGAAGCACGCTGCCCTTCCACCTCCTGTCCGCGCCGTCTCCGCCTCAAGGCCTCCACCGCGCCCGCCTCCCCTCGAACCCCTCCTTGGGGGAGGGAGGGAGGAGGGAGGAGGGAGACGGAGGAGGAGGGAGAAGGGAGGGAGACGGAGGGGGGGGGGCAGGAGACGGAGGAGGAGGAGGAGGAGGAGGAGGAGGAGGAGGAGGAGGATGGGAGGAGGAGGAGGAGGAGGAGGAGGAGGGAGGAGGAGGAGGGGAGGAGGAGGAGGAGGAGGAGGAGGGAGGAGGAGGAGGAGGAGGAGGAGGAGGAGGAGGAGGACGCGGTGCTTAGCAGGGTGGGATCACAAGGGTGGCCGAGGAACTGTGCACCTTTTGTGGCCCCTGTGGGCCCCAGGGCCCCTTTCGGGCCCCCCCCAGGTGCGAGTAGACCTTTCTTCCCCGCTGCATGTGCCCCCCCCCCCCCCCACTCAACGCCCGACCCTCGGGAAGAACATCGGCGCCACGAGGAGGGGAGGGGGAGCATCGGGAATAGAGGTCGGCGCACCAGTGTGCGGGGACGGGCCTCGAGGTCCCTCCTCCTGGGAAGTTGCCGCCACGACCATTGCGCGCGCTGCAAACGCATGGAGCGGGGCAGGAGGAGAGGGGAGAAGATGGAGGAGGAGGAGGAGGAGCAGGAGGAGGATGGATGGCACAGCT